ATGAAGATATAGAGTCTATAGACTCGATTTTAGTATAGACGAGTTCTTCAGGAGAGCTCCCTTGTATGTGACAGCTCAAGTCTAAGGTATGGGCATTCTTTGACTCCGTACCAGCAGAACTCCCACGTTATCAGTCAGACCTCACCTCAAAACGCTGTGCAAAGTCATCGATCAGTTTCCTCCGGCCTGCGATAGTGGATTCAATGATCTCCAATACTTCATCAATCCACTCAACGCTTTTAGACCCTACAGGATCTCAATTCCCGACTTCTAAACTAATTTTGAAAGGAGCACTCATTATCGCCTCCCCCGCGTGATCCGTCTCTTCAAATTCCATCACACATAGTAAAGCCGAAATTTCGTGATCCTGCTTTCCCATACAAGCCTTGAGATCCTCCGACACGAGCTGCACCTGGGAAGAAGAAACGAAGCGCACAACTCGTGGACAGATCGAAGCATCCGTTGAATTACTTCAGCAGCGCATTCGTCCGCTACGACAGCAAAGAACTCCTTGTAATGATCCAAAGCTTTGTCGTGATGAGCCTTCCGCCTGAACAACACAAGGGTTGGCTGTCAAATCACTCATGCCAAGTCGATATGTCAGAAAGTGTAGTCGAGAAGAAACAAAATGCCCCCATTAGTGAGCTCAGGTCATGATGGATGAACTGCTCTTGCGCACCTTGCAGTGAACTCTTCACGTCTTTTCATCCGCTTATTATAAGCTTCTATTGTTTCCTGAACCAAGGCAACCCGTATGCATCCACCCTCGCATCCGCCGACCCCGTACGTCAGTCGGGATGGGCGAATCCACCAGACCTTTGACCATCTGTCTCTCCTCCTGAATTTCGAGTAAATGCTCGGAAGAGAGCTTGTCGGTCTGAAGGCAAGGCATTGCTCTGAGCATAATATGCGCTAAAAGCATCTATTCTCGTGCTACTCTTCTCGCTTCATCGACCCTCTGTTGTTGCAGACGAGAGAATTCCTGACAATCGGAGCAGTTGAGGATTACGCCTTATCAAGGCGTAAGGCAATTGAACCGTTGCACGCTGTTATCAGAGGGCTCAAGGGCAAAGGTCAAAGATCACCTTGATGTCTTGTCCGGTCTGGAATCCCCTAGTCGGGTTCACCGATTGCCTGTGTCTATGTCCGTTCGGCGAGCCAGTCATAATGGGAGTAGATGAAAACACTTCGAAGATTCCGTCGAGAGTCGAACTGGGGTCAGCGTCTTGAGTGCTAACCGATATAGGATAGAACCACACAAAAACATAGTCTC